GGGGCCAGCCGTTTGCAAACGGTTAACCGCCAGGCCGGGAAGGGTGTGCAAGCCGCGGCACAAAGGAACACACCATCGCGCCGTGGCCAATGAGCGGGCGAGCGCGTCACTGCGGCCTCCTCCGAGCATCTAGAGTGTCTTAATCGCCTCGGTCAGGGGTAACTTTCAGTCACTCGTCTGACACTGCCAGCCCTGGCCAGGGCTCAGCACCCTGGTCTCGGTGCTGGCGTGGACCCGCGGGGGATTTTGACGTGCACGCGCTGTCGCCCACGGCGAGCATGACGTGGTTTCCACGGCGCGCGGCTCTGCGGTGACTCATTCAAAACTTCCCTTGGCTCCACGTATGCATGAGGCGATAAGCGCGCCGGAGAGGAGTGGCTCCATCTCGCTCCCTTTCCTCCCCCCGCCGGGGTGACGTGCATGGGGAAAAATGTGCATGTGTTGGGTCCTGTGCAATGCCTCTGCCGGCTCTCCATCCATGGAGATTTGGTTTCTTCCTCTCCCCCCCACCCCAACTTAAATTTAAACTTTGTGTCCTGTATGTCAGCCCGGATGGAAAGATCTCACTGTACCCTGGCAGCGGAGCGGCAGAGGGCCAGCCCTGACTGTGCATGGCTCTGTCCTGTGTCTGGTTCTGCTGGCTTCCTTCCAGAACGCAGCCTCCATCCAGTAGTTTGTGGAGTGCAGGGTGCTTGCAAATCCCCAAGCAAAATCAGTCTCCTAAACAGATGTGGATGCAGCCTCAACACCTGGCTCGCTTCCCTCTGGGAGGAGGAATTCCTCCCGTGCCCCCCTGAGTGATGGGGGGACCTGGGTGCTTGTGGTGTCCTCGGGCTGCCGGCACAGGGTAGAGTGGTTCCCGGTCTGGGTTGCAGCAGGACAAGTGTTGCGAGATGCGCTGGGTGAAGTGGAGAGATGCTCTGGGTGGCTTCCCGCTGCGATCACCCTTGCTGGCTGCTCCTGCTGGGACTGCTGCCAAGGTCCAGCGCTTGAGTAATCCCCTCTGATCCCCTGTCGCGCTTCGCATCCCGTGTCCCTTTGCCTGCGACTCTGGGAAGCTGGGCAGGGGTGGAAGAAGGAGCCAGCCTGCTGGTGGTTTGCCCCATCCCTGCCAGCAGAACAGAGGTGACCCCGGGACCAGGGCTCGGGGGAGGCCGGCAGCAAAGCCAAGCTGGTGAGAGGCGTTTTTCTGCTGGGCCCGCGGGGCTGCGCTGCCTGGCTCTGCTGCCGGGCTGCTCCCCAGCCCTTGCCAGGATGATGGGGGTGATGATATCCCTCTGAACATGCAGTGGTGCTGCCTGGGGGAGAGGTTGGGGCTGGAAACTGAAGGCAGGAGCAGATCAATCCCTTCCATCAAAGCACAGATGTCTGTTTTTCCCAATAAAGCTCTTCCCTGGAAGTCTGAGTCAGGTCTTCTCACCCCATGAGACCTGAGCTGCTGCCTTCAGCCTGGTCTGAATCACCCCTGTGGCAACCACCTCCTGTCAAAGTGGAGCAGGGTGGGCCACCCTGGGGCAGCTCAGGAGCCCCCAAAATCAGATGCCTGAACCCCACTGGACTTGTGGTAGCAGGGAGAGCCAGGCTGGTGGGGTTACCCAGGCGCTGTGTGCCCGTGAGGCTAACACTGTGTTCTTCCAAAGGATCATCTTCTCTACCCCATTTGCCGTCACGTCCTACTTTCTCGTCTGGTTTGTGCCGGACATCTCCACGGGCCAAGTGATGTGGTACCTCATCTTCTACTGCATCTTCCAGACCCTTGTGACAGTGAGTTGGGCTCTGCACACCCCAGGGCCAGTGGGTGAGGGATGGAGAGGATGAATCCCTGCCCTCACCTTGCTGAGCTATGCAGCGGGGCAGGTTCCCATGCCTGAGCTAATTCTCCTTGTGCCGTTGCAGTGTTTCCATGTACCCTACTCGGCGCTGACCATGTTCATCAGCAGGGAACAGAGTGAGCGGGACTCAGCCACTGCCTACCGTAAGAGCATTTCCTTCCCTTCCTCGCCATGGCTGGGGGGCAGCCAGTGCTCAGCTCCTTTGCTGCAGCTCTCGCTGGGGCACGATCCTCTTCCAGATGCCCCACTGGAAGGGCTCATTTGATCACACCCCATCCTAAGGACTGTGTGTGATGAACATCATTCAGGAGTTGAATTGCAGCTGGTCCAGCCCTTCCCATTCCTCTTTCTGGGCTCCTCCAGCAGACATCCTTGTCTAGTCTGGTGAGAGCTGGGCTGATGGGGAGGCGGTCCCTGTTATGGCCAAGTGCCTGGAGCAGATGATGGGGGATCTGAGCTCCCAATTCTTTCCTCCCGCTCTGTCATACAGCAGTGGGAGCAGCATGACTAAGTCTTGGCCTCTCTCCCTGCCTTGGTGTCCCCAGCAGACACTCTCCTTCCCTGTGGCTTTATCACTTGGTGATTTGGAGGGAGCTGGGCTGGCTCATTTCTCCTGGTGAAGGGCAATGCCTTGCAGCTGGGGAGCCTCTGCAGTGGAGAAGGGTTTTGCACCCTGGCTGCAAAATGCCCTGGGTGCCCAAGGGCTGTGCTCAGTCCGTCTGGACTCTCTCTCTCCAGGTATGACAGTGGAAGTGCTGGGCACTGTGCTGGGCACCGCCATCCAGGGCCAGATCGTGGGCAAGGTGGTTACTCCCTGCATCGAGAGCCCCCTCTTCATCGGCAAGACCAACTCCTCAGTGGCCTTGGAGGAGCTAAACATGACCCATGACACCGGGTCGCTCACAGACACAGTAAGCTGGGGGGACGGGCTGGCAGCCCCTGCCATACTTGCTTTGCCTTTTTGACCGGGCTGGCTCCTGGGATGAGCCCCCTCCCTCACCGCTCCCTCCTCTCTTGCACAGAGAAATGCCTACATGATCGCTGCAGGGGTCATCGGGGGACTCTACATCCTCTGCGCCGTGATCCTGTCGGTGGGTGTGCGGGAGAAGAGAGGTGAGGCTTGAGACATGATGGAATATTCCAGACTTGTGGAAATGCTGTGGCTTCTGCCCGGGGTTCCTCAGGAGCCCGGCTGAGCTCTCAGCCTCTGGTTTGTGGGTCAAGCACCAGAGGAGAGGGGCCTGTAGAGCTGAGGTCTGGGTATGGGGGCCTGGGGAAGGTGCTGCAGGAGGCCAGAGCATCTCCAGGGTATGTTACAGCACAGCCCTGAGGACTTAGCTCTCTGCTCTGCACTGTCAGAGATAAATGTTATCTTGCAGTTTTGACTGGCCAAGGTTGCTAGTGCCAACTAGGGGCATCCTGGGGTGAGGCGATATCCAAAGTCCAGTAGTTCTGTCCTTTCCTCCCTCTGCTTTGCCACCAGCTCTGCTTATCCTGGGCGAATCAGCTAGACCGTTCTCAGCTAGGCCATCTTCTCCCCTCCGTGAGGCCGAGGTTCCCCTGGGCGAGGGCAGGGAGATCCCCGCAGGCATTGCCTTGACTCCCTTGGGGAGTGATGCTGTAGGTGGGCAGAGGCTTGTGCAGGGTGCTCAGCAGCAGGCATTAAGGCACTGCACCCCTTGCACCCAGGGGTGCTGTTTCAGTGCGTCTAACGATGGGCCAATTTGCTCTGCTCCCCAGAGTCCTCTGAGCTCCAGTCGGACGAGCCTGTCTCCTTCTTCCAGGGGCTGAAGCTGGTGATGAACCACAGTGCCTACATCAAGCTCATAGCTGGCTTCCTCTTCACCTCGCTGGCCTTCATGGTAAGCACAACCAGGCTGGGAGGATGGGGGAGAGGGAACGGCAGCAGCGCAGCTTGGAGATGGCCGGGAGATGAGCAGCGTAGGGCCCAAATAGCATCCCCGTGGGCTGGGAGCATGTGAGGTGGCAGCTCAAGGAGCCGGAGCTGCCCCAGGCAGAGGAAGGATGTGGCCTTGTGCCCTTGGATGGGTCAGTGAATGGCTGCTTTCTTCTCCTGCTCGCATTTTGGGCACAGTCTTGTGAGGAGGAGCACGTGCCTCTGGGATGGCTGGGGTGCCCGTCCCCCCCTAACTGCTATCTGTCTCCTCCACAGCTGCTGGAGGGCAACTTTGCCCTCTTCTGCACCTACACCCTGGGCTTCCGCAATGAGTTCCAGAACATTCTCCTAGCCATCATGGTGCGTATGGCCGTGTCCTGGAGCCCCTTGGGGCCGAGGCTGCGGTGGGACGCGTGCTGTGGGATCCCCCGGGTCCTCCCCAGGAGCTGGCATGGGATGGGTGCTCTGTGGGCTGAGGGGAGGGAGGCTGTGAGGCTGTGATAGTCTGCTGTGGGGACAGTGACCGAAGGTCCCCCAGGAGAAGGGAAGGGAGAAGGAGCTGCCAAATGTCCTGCAAAGGCCAGGCGAGTTAGCAGGAACAGCGAGGCCTTTGTTCCCGTGTGAAGGCGGCCAGAGATGGGGGAGACCAGGAGCCGTGGGGCCTTTTGTCCAAATCCTGCCACTTATCTCCCTTCCCCCCTGCCTTGAGAAAAGGATCTCAGTGTTTACTGCCAGGGAGATGGAGCAAAACAGCTCCTTGAGAGTACTTTCCAGCTTGCCTCATCCCTGGGAGCCCTTCCCACCCTTCCTGCTCAATGGGGTGCAGAGGTCCAAGGTGCCAAGTTCCCCACAAAGCTTGGCTCTTGGCCACGCTGTGTGCAGGCAGCGGCAACAAGATCAGGTCCCTTCCCAGCACCGAGGATCGAGTTGGGTCCTCCCTCTGTTTGGGCAAGGTGTGCTGGCACCCACCGGGTGCCCTGAGGATGGTGGTGCTGGGTGCCAGGGAGGAGGTGGCCCCATGCACCCGCTCCAATTGCAAGCTCTCTTTCCTGGGAGTGGAGGCAGGTGAGGGATGGGGTGAGGGCAGGAGCAGGCTGTGTGCCAGCCCCAGGAGTGTGTGGAAATTGGAGGTGCTGGAAATGTGATGGAGGAGGCTGTGCCCAGGAGCTGCTCCTTGCTGGGAAGAGCTTTTCCTCCTGAGAAGAGCCTGGCCAGCAAGTGACACCACGATCCCCTTCTCTTCCCATAGCTCTCGGCCACCTTGACCATTCCATTCTGGCAGTGGTTCCTTACCCGCTTTGGGAAGAAGACTGCTGTCTACGTGGGCATCTCGGTGAGTGGGTCCCCTTGAGCACAGGGGTGCATGCGAGGATGGTGTTTCCCATGTGGGGTGAGCAGCTCTGTGTCCCCCCCCACCCTGAGAGGGCCTGGAGCTGGGCAGGGACTGCAGCTGCTGCTGATTTGGTGCCTGTCCCTCATCCTGCTATTTGTGCTGTCATGGATGTGGCCAAGGCCAGCAGAAATGGCCACTGTGGGGCTCTGGGAGGAAGGCTGCACTGCTGCTTCCCTGGCTGTCCCTGGGGTCGGAGGGCTGGCATGCACGGGAGGGAAGGGGAAAGGCCAAAGAGTCTGGGTCAGGCACTTGCTGACACAACCTGGTTTCTGTCCCCTTTCTAGTCTGCCATCCCCTTCCTCATCATGGTGGTTGTCCTGGACAGTAACTTGATCGTCACCTACATCGTGGCTGTTGCAGCTGGGATCAGCGTCGCAGCTGCCTTCCTCCTGCCCTGGTGAGTGCGAGGTCCTGGTGCTCTCAGCCCTGCACCCCGAGAGCTGGGCAAGGTGCTTCCAGGGCCTCCTGGAGTGGTTAGAAATCCTTGGGAGGCCTTTTTGCGATGTTTTCAGCCTAAGATGGGGCTCTTGGAGGGAAATCCTCTCCACAGGGAGAGGAGATGCTTCCTTGGCTCTGTCCTAGTGTTCAGTATTCCGCTCTCTGCACAGGTCCATGCTCCCGGATGTCATAGATGACTTCAAGCTGCAGCACCCTGACGCCCATGGCCATGAAGCCATCTTCTTCTCCTTCTACGTCTTCTTCACCAAGTTCACCTCTGGGGTCTCCCTGGGCATCTCCACACTCAGCTTAGAGTGAGTTTTTGCATGGGAGCTGAGGAGGAGGGAAGAGAGGCCAGTCCGGTGCTTCTGCATCCAGGCGTCTTTGCTTCCCAAGGGCTGGGAGGGAGGTGGGGGGGTCTAAATCCAGCTGTGGTTCCACAAACCTCTACCTGCAGGGATAGGTTTGTCTCCTACAAACTCAGTTTCCTTTGCCTGAAGGTCCCTTTCTGTCCGCAGCTTTGCAGGGTACCAGACCCGAGGCTGCTCCCAGCCCAGCGAGGTGAACTTCACCCTGAAGATGCTGGTGTCGGCTGCGCCCGTGGGGCTGATCCTGCTGGGCCTGCTCCTGTTCAAGCTGTACCCCATTGATGAGGAGAAGCGGAAGAAAAACAAGAAAGCCCTGCAGGACTTAAGGTGAGTGTCAGCTTGTGCTATGGAGGTAGCAAGTGTGGCACGCCAGCGGGGTGTGTGGGGGCAGGATCAGGCCCAGGCGGGTTGGGACACACTGTGACTTGTCCAGGAATCCTCCAGGACTCATGGATAGTCGGGTGAGGGAAGGGCTGGCTTGTTTTCCCAACACCAACATCCAAAGAGGTGGCGTGAAGTGCTTGAAATCAGCTGGGAACCCGCCCCAGTTGCTAAAGAAAACTTGTTCGGGGACTGCGCAAGGCAGTGCCGTCCCTCCAAGCCTTTCGGAGGCTCCTGTGCTTCAAGGCAGAGGTCTGCTTGGAGGCAGGGCTTGCTCCATGGCTCACGTCGTGCCTCCTCCACAACCCTTTGTCCCCAGGGAGGAGAGCAACAGCAGCTCGGAGTCGGACAACACAGAACTGGCCAGCATCGTGTGACCCTGGGTTGGGTCTGCCCGCTCACACCGGGGTTCTCCGAAGGACTTGGCCCCTCTGCGACTGGACCAGCCTCGTGCCGCTGTAGGTGCGTGCTGTCGAGGAGAGCCTGGGAGAAGCTGTGCAGAGCATCCACTGATTCGAACATGAGATCTGTGCTGGTCTTATGCCTTCCACGGGATCCGCTGGTAGTGTACATTACACAAATTGACCCTGTGGTACTTGTGTGCCTCACAAGAGACAAGCACTATTCCCTGCTGGGTCCCAGAGAGCAGAAAAGCCTGGAGCGGGATTCTCTGGCTCGTAGCACTTGTGCCCGCTGCCCACCTGTGCCCAGCCTGCGTGGGTCCAATTGCCCGTGGGACCGGGGGTAATGGTTAGTGTACATTACACTGTCAATGTGAGCGTGCCAAGGCCGTGAGCTCACCTCTGCTGTCTGTACATGTGACACTAATCTGGAAAGCTGTTCTTTTTTTATAGAGCCTAATTAACTTAATGATATAAATATGAAATTTGTATATGTCTGTACAGAAACTGAACTCAAGGACCTATTAATATTAATTCACGTAAAAGTGGGGGAAGTCAGCAGCGTGGGTGTGGAGAATTTCTTTTGTTTGGCTGCTTTCTTTGCGGATGTCGGCAAGCCCAGGGTCCCTTTACATGCCACAGGGGGCAGG